TGATCGTACATGCGGATCTGGGCAAATACCTGCGTTCCGCCGGCTGACCCTCCGGCAGACCAAAAGCGGCTTTGCTTTCATTTTCTTAAGGCTGAAAAGCCGTTGGGGACCCTAGTCGGCCGTTCCCCCTGCCTCGACTGTGGTTCCAAGATCTATTTGCCTAGAGGTGAACCTGGCATTCGGCTGTCTGCAAAGCACAGCGACTGAGCCGTCCTGCCCCTCCACTTATCCCAGGCAGCGTCCCCCGCGCCAGACCTGTGGAATCGGAAGCTCGCCGCAGTCATTCCTGGCTGCTTCTGAGCAAGCATTCCGCTCTAAACCGGAATAAAATTTATTTTAAAGAGTTTGCCCAAAGTTGGATTTAATTTTATTTCCTGGGTCCGAAGGGAATCAACCGCGCGGGGAGAGACATCTCCAGGCAGGTTGGAAGATCACTCTGATCGAGTTACAGAGGTATCACGAATCCGAGGCATACATGTTATACAAAACTTAGATACAAAGGAGCCTAGAATACTCAGAAGATCATTACAGTATCCTTCTACTGAACTGGTTTGTAGCCACATCTCAGCTGTGCGGTGTTTCCACGACACACTGAACCGCAAACCAACCGCAACGTTTTAGACCTGGTGTTGCTGTGGTCCCAACCTGTGTATGGTAACATGTGATCCGGGGCTGACAAAATCACGGGTAAGCAGGCTATGTTTGGACGTCACGAAGGCAGGCTATGATTGAGCCCGAAATCTGAAAACAGCTTGTCTGAAGGTGATCCCGTTAATGAGCGGTAATGAGCGTCGGTAATGAGACTGTGTCAGTCCCCGCCGCCTTCTCTCCCTATTTCCTCACCACAACGAAAGCCCGATGCGGGGATCTTCTCCCAAGTCAACTGAGACATGCAAATACAGCTTGTTAAACCTCCATAGTCGATTCGACCGACCCGGGTCACCCTTGAAAGAAAGAGTTTCCGTTTACGGCGAGAAATAAACTTTTCAGCTTCCCACCTTGATTCAGATTTCCTAAAGATTCATGAACATGATGTGAAAAGGAAGAATTCTACCTGGATCGAGGAAACGTCCGACCTGGCCTGAAACTCATAAACCAGTGAAGACTCTGGAAGTCCCAGTTCAGATTATTGCCCTTCTGAAGAGCTGCATGAGTCGCGTGGCTTGGCAGCAGTGCACAAAACACCTGCATTAACTCAGACGTGACAAATTAAGACATCCCCCCCCCCCAAGAAATCAGTGTCTTAGATCTAAAAAGCTGCTTTGGAACAATTATATACCTTAACAATAATAATACGTTCCACAATCTGTGCATTGTGATGTTTCCTCGGAATGCAAGTCCCACTAAATTAAATGGGATGTGCCTCCATATAGCATAGTATTGATTATGGAACACTGTTGCCCTTTCCAACAATGGAGGAGGAGGAGGAGGATTGGTGTCTATTGATTCCCATGCCTTAGCTTATGATGCTGAAGTGGACTAAATATAGGTCTTTGTAGGTATTCTAAAACAAAGATAATGCTTGGGGTCATGCAAGGACTGTAGAAATAGTCCCACAGGAAAGAAAGAGCTCCTGAAAAAAACAGTCCATACCAGGCCTTTCATTTTCTGTGATTCCTGCAGGACTCTGTCAAGAACATCTGCTGGATGAGGCAGACCCCACCTGCACCTACTCAGAAGTAAACCCAGTGAACTTAATTGGATTTACACCTAAGTAAATAGCCATACAATTGCAGCCTTGTAATGTAGACCCATGCTTCTTTTTTGGCTTAGGCTTCCCCAGCCTGGTACCTTCCTGATGTGTTGAACTATGAAGCCCATCATCCATAGTCAAAAATGGCTTCAGTTGAGAGATGTAGTCCAGGCCATGTAGAAAATAGCAGGCTGGGAAGCTTTGTTAGTGGATAAGGCTGCAAGCTTAAAGACACTGATCTGGGTGTGAAAATCTGGGAATCAAGTGGGGCTTCCCACTGAGCAGACCCACATAAAATTGAGCTGTAATGCCATTGAAGATAGACAGACTTTTGATAGAGTGCAGGCAGGATAGAATCATGTGAACCAAAGTAAGTTGACTCCAAAGAAGGTGGCAAGATTTCAGTCTAAAGTTCACTGAGTTCAGGAGAACTGATTCTCAAGCCAGCATCCTTAGCATTATTCATTTCAGAATTAAAAAAATATTCTGAGAATCCAGGAGCCCAGGCAATAGCTTAAAATCAACAATGGAATAAACACAGCCTAAAAGTTGCCCTTCTCAACCCGGCACCCTCCAGATGGCTGGAACTATATCCTCATCATTCTCAGCAATGCCCAAGCTGCTCTGAAGTCCTCTTTTTGGTATCAAGGCAATCTCTGTTTAGAGCTTTCCCATCCATCTCTGTCTTCTTGCTCCTTCCTAGAAGAGCAGTTTGGACTTTGCCACTAGTCGCTCACCATACTGAGTGGTGAAATGTTTCCTTTTGTAAATTAGTGATCAAACAAATATACAGTAAAGTATAATTGATAATTTCCTGGAAACACAGAGACTGAAGAAGCCATCCACCCCAAGTTAAGCATTTTGACAATGTTACTTTCTTGACTTGTCTACTAAGAAATAAGTGCCATTATATTACTTGGAGTCTATTGCCAATTAGATTGCAATTCTGTACACACTTACAGAGTAAGATTAATTGAATTCAGTGAAGCTCACTCTGAGTGGACTGCATAAGGTCCCGCTTTTTGACTGCAATCTCATGCACATTCCCTTTGGGAATAAATGTTGTTAAACTGAGCAGGACTGATCTGAGTAAACATGCATATGGCTGCTTAGTTCATACAATATACTGATTTTTGTTGTTATGGCCTGTTTTGGAAGTTTGTACAACACATCAAGCCATGAACTAACTAAATAGGCTGATTTTGCATACTGTAAGGCATCAAAAGAAACCCCAACCCCAGCCAAATTTATTACCTTGGACTGATATGTCTTTAAGTGACCTGGTTAGGTGTGTGCTGTGAACCCACCCACAAAGTGCTTATACTTTGACTAGATTGTGCTCAATCTCTTGTTGATTTGTTATTTTCATTTGGTTTTAATTAATTTTTGTATATTTGGATGTCTGTACATAACATATTTAAAAACAGTCCAGCAACCTGATACCTTTCATACACAGGAGCCTTCTAGATGTATTGGATTTCAATTCCCACCCAGAATTATGGGAATGAAGTTTATCCAGAAAACCAGTTGGGGAAAGTTGGTCTATCCCAACATTCTTTGGAATATGTTGCCCTGATAGCAAGTTACAGTTTTAATTTATCAGGATATGCTCATACTTATGTTCTCTAATCTGTAGCTATCACCTACACTTGTTTAATGACAACTTTGTGCTAGGCCCTGTACATCACAGTCAATATTATGATTTATAATCAAAGGGCTTTCAATTTCTTTGGCCACAAAATAATGAAAGGTATTGAGGTAGGGGAACGTAAAAAGATTGAAATCCTGTGGCCATAATCCTATACAACTATAACCAATGTTTCTGAGAAATTGCATATGAGCATATCCTGATAAATTAAAAGTTACAATTCTATCAAATGTTGATCTGGAAGTAAGGATAACTGAACTCAGAAGAATTTGCATCTAAAGAAAAGTTAATAGCAGTGGCCAGCTATGCCTACTGCAAAGTAAAAAAAAAAAAAAAAATGCAGAAAAAGCAACTGCCCTTGACAAATCTTTCTCCATGATCAGTTACCATCTGTAAAATGGGTATATACCAACCATATTTCTTCATACAACTGTTAGGGAAATGAATAATACATTTTTAAAAATTGTATTAGAATTCTAAGCATTTATGCAGAGTAATTAGAGATAAATCCAAATGAGTTCAGTGGAACTTGCTTTCAGTTAGGATCCTTGTCTCCTACTACTGAGGCTAAGCTTATACTCCTGTTATGTTACTCTGAGATGAAAGTGGGTGTTTAAAGCTGCAATCCAGCGGAGATTTCACTGGGAATAATGAACCCCACTGAACTCAGACAGGTATGCAAATGATTGCACTCTTATTGTGAATAAATTGTGCTGGCTACTCTCCAAAGTAAGCTCGCTCAAACTTTCAAACTTCTGCAAGTCCCAATGGGTTAACTGAAACTCAGTACCAGCATTACAGCCTGAATCCGCTGATCAGCTAACACATTCTGTGTCCCTGTTGCACCCTGAAGTTGGCATCTCTACTCCACTGCCGCTGATACTGGCTCTCCATTCAGATTTGTCCAATCTCAGTAACTCATTTAAAAACTTCAAAAGTTGGGTTGTGCGCGCGTGCGTTTAAATGTCTCTTCTAGAAAGTGTAAAAACGAAACAGCCCACACAGAAAGTTTAAGATATCAGTATTAATATTTCGCTTGGCAAATGGAGCGGGGAGAAACGGGAGCACGAAGCCAAACCAAAACGCAACATAAGCCTCCAGGTAGAGGTGTTTCGCATTTAGAGGAGGAAGTCGTGTTGAGCGTAAAGCCGAGGGAGAGGGAGGAGTTGATTGACGGTCTCTATAGAAACACCGGATCCTCCGCCCCCCCATAGGACCCGGCCAATCAGCGAGCCCGCCCGAATCCAGCAGGCTGCTTGTGCTATTAAGAATATGTAGCAGGAGAGAGAAGCACTGGAGGAGTCACGTTGGGGAGGAAAGGAAGGAACGAAAGAAAGAAAAGGAGGGAGGGGGAGAGGAGAGCGGCTGGGGGGAGAAGAAACCGCGATCCGTTTACACGAGCTTTGCTAGAACAAGGTGTCTTAATGGTTACTACGTGGCGGAGGGGAAACCTGATCAGCTAAACGCCAGCCGGGTGGCGGTCCGGGAAGAGGAGGAGGAGGAGGAGGAGGAGGAGGAGCGGCGGCAGCAGCAGCAGCAGCAGCAGGAGGGGTGTGTGAGCACTTTCCGGGGAGGGGGGTGTAAAGGAAGAAAAAGTGGGGAGAAAGCCGGGGGAGAAGCCCCTCCACCTAACTCCAAACCCAAACCAGAGGGGGGAAGATGTCTTCTGCCTCTCCCACCACCACGATTCCCGGCGTGGTGGCGACGATCAAGCAAGAAAACGTACTGGAAATGTTCTGCGGTGGGGCGTCGGAGAAGGTAACCTCGGGCGGCTCGACTCCCACGTCTGCACCGCCTTCTGGTCTGGCGGCGGCGGCAGCTCCTTTTGCTAGGAAGGAAGAAGCCGGGGAAGAGGAGGACGAGGAGGAGGAAGCCGCTGCCGGGATTGCGGGTCAGGTTCTACTCCACACGGAACTTTTGGTGCGGAATCACGGCGCTGTTGCCGCCGCGTCTCCCTTGTCCTCGGCTTCGCCTCGGTCCTCCTCCTCTTCCTCGTCCTCCACTTCGCCCCAGGCTCTGCTCGCTTTCTCCCCGGACCACGTCGCTTGCGTCTGCGAGGCTTTGCAGCAAGGCGGGAACCTAGACCGCCTGGCCCGGTTCTTGTGGTCTCTGCCCCAGAGCGACCTGCTACGTGGCAACGAGAGCCTGCTTAAAGCCCGGGCGTTGGTGGCTTTCCACCAGGGGCTGTACGCGGAGCTCTACGGGATTTTAGAGAGCCACAGCTTCGACGCCGCCAACCACCCTCTCCTGCAGGAGCTCTGGTACAAGGCGCGCTACACCGAGGCGGAGAGGGCCCGCGGCCGGCCCCTGGGCGCCGTCGACAAGTACCGCCTGCGCAGGAAGTTCCCGCTGCCCCGCACCATCTGGGACGGCGAGGAGACGGTCTACTGCTTTAAGGAGAAATCGCGCAATGCTCTCAAGGAGCTCTACAAGCAGAATCGCTACCCTTCCCCAGCCGAGAAGCGCAACTTGGCCAAGATCACTGGCCTCTCGCTCACGCAAGTCAGCAACTGGTTCAAAAACCGGCGGCAACGGGATCGCAACCCCGCGGAACCGCAGTCGAAAAGGTGAGAGCCGCGCGTTACGTTAGCGGGAACGGCTCTCCCGGGCCTTTTAACTTCCACGAGAGCAGAGCGGGGGCATGGCGGGAAGCAGAGCAGCTTCTGATTCTGCAGAGTCCCCTCCTGGATTCCGTCGCGAAAGGAAACTCACTGCACATGTTCAGAGTCACTGCAGATGTCTTTTATTTGTTTAAACAAATTCTGTAGCCCTCTCCCCCACGACAGTGACTCTAGGCAGCCAGCTGAAGGTTAAAAACAGAACAGAGCAGAGTGTTAAAATAACAATAGAGAAGCATATGCGCGAGGTCTAAAATCATTCCACTGCGAGATTAGGCAAACCAACCATCAGGGTCCACTTAACCCCCTGGGCCAAAAGCCCGGGGGAACAACTAGGCTTTACTGCCTTATGAAAGGCCAGCAGGATCTGAAATGAGCACCAGGGTTAGCAGATAGTCATAGGGAGACCGGGCATGACTCCCATCCTCTATTCTGCTGAGTTTAAGTAAATGCCACTCTTCCCCTTCTGTTCCTTCTGATACCTTCTCTGCCACTTGTCTTCTGGCTTTCCTCAGCAGGATAATCCTCCTTTGCTTGTGCCATCTCTTCCCCTGCTGGCTTTCTGCCTTATTTCTGTTGCCAGGTTCCCTTGGCCTGCTTCTCCTCCCATCTCCTTTGGTTCTGCCCTTTACCTGATTACATCCGAGTCTGGATTTCAAAATGCTTCCCATATATTCTTGGTAAACCTCACAACACCCCTGCAGTGCAGGATATCATTATGATCCTTCCTCTATCCTTGGCTGTGATTTCTTGAGGAGTGTAAATAGTGCACTGCTCAAGGCTACCTATGGAATTTGGGGCCCTGGCAAGACTTAAATAACATGGCTCTGAGAAGGCCCCTGGCTTTCAGTTTTTGCTGCTGCTTTCCCAAACTTTGGCCTTGGGCCTCAGTTCCTGGGCCTCTCTGCTGCCCATCCTTCTGCCCTGCTGCTTTGCAACCTCCTGCTCTGGCTTTTTTTCGTTCCCACCACAGCAATTTGCCTCCGTCTAACACCTTGCTGCTTTCTTGCTCTTCCTGTTCCCCTCCCCTCTTGTCTGCCTTTCTCCCTGCTTCCCCCTCCCTTGCCCTCTGTCCTTGCCTGGCTTTCATTCCTAACAAATATGGCGTTTACCTTCAGCAGCCCCTTTCTTCCTGGTCTTCCACCCCCAGCAATCTTGCTTTCCTTCTCCACGTTCCTGCTCCTTACTTTCTGGGTTCAAGGAAAGGATTGCTGACTGTGAACTAAAAGGGTGTTTGATCCTTCAGACATAATTTTCTCCCCATCTTCTCTCACAGTCTGTCTCCAGAGTCCCCACCCCCATTCTTCAGCTCTGGTTTCTCCCTGTAATCTTAAAAAAACCTATGCCTGGGGGCATGGCTTCCCCAGACTTTCCCAAGTCTTCCTCTCCTTAATCCTCAGGAGTTCTTTGTAGCTCAGATCCTCTTGAGGCGTTTATGCTCATGATTTGCCCTCTTTCTGCAAAATGTAAAAACTTTGTACCCCCTGCTGCTTTGTCCCAAACTCCGTTCCATGGCCTTAGTGCCTTCTGTATGTCCAGCCTGGCATTTCAAGTCTGCCCTTGACAGAGGAAGGCCTTTTCTCTAGGTCCTCAGCCTGTCTTCTGCCTCACCCTGCTTAAGAGAGGAGAAAAATTATGTTTCTTCCTTGGAGGCTGCCTGCAGCATCCCTTGTATACTTCCTTTAATAGAAATGTCCTATTCCTTGATGCGTTCCTCTGTGTTTAGAGGTTGTGAGGAAATTGTTTCCCCACTCATTTTGTTTGACAGCGTTAATTATTTCCCCAGGTTTTATGTCACTGAGAGAGAAAAAAAGTGAAACATGAAGCTCATTGCTTGGCTAGTGAGCTCTCTCCCTCCCCCCTTTTGGTTGGTGCCTTCTTTGCTCCTCTTGTTGTGAAACTTGATTCTGTGCTGATTTGGATCAGGTTTATGTCCTCAGAAGATGGGAACGAGGTCTTCCCCGGTTTATGATTCTAAGCAGCCTCCCAGATGTCTTTTTAGCTGGCCTCTCCCCTGGAGCCAGAGTCCTCTGTGGCTGGGTTTTCACATCATGCTGAGCCATAATGAGATTTGATAATTTATGGCGTTGTGGTGTTGTGTGAATCCCACAATCATGAATGTGCAAACCAGGGCTTGGCACAATTTGTTAATTCAGTCTTCCTTTGGGGAATTTTACTAGTCATTGTTAGATGAATCTCCCTTTATTCCTTATCTTTCCAACAAAAATACACAGGAATAATCCCTGATGCTGCAGAAGTCCAAAAATCCTTCTGTAGCTCCAGGGAACTGCTTAGGGCCCTCCAATGCTGACCTTCTAAAAGAAGGAAGGAAAAGTTGGCTGACAAGAGGTCACCCCAGATAGTCATCTGTCTTGTAATAGCCAGGTGAGGTGACATGCCTCCACACAAGGTGCCTCCCTTCCTTCTTCCTTTTTAGAAGGACTGTTGAAGACAGGGAAAGTTGCTTTTTTTTTAAGCCTCAAAGATCTATTTTCAATCGTGCTGATCCAGCCCCTTTCCGTCCTTGGAGCAAAGACATCAAATGCACAAATGGCAAGTCAGAGGTGGGGCGGGGGAGGGACAGTCAGCAACCTCCAGCCAGGTGGAGGGTACAGAAGACGGAAGGCATGTGTGGTTGTTTGGACTTGCTACAGCTCCTAAAGAATAAAGGGGTTTGGGGAGGGAGTGTGTTGTGTTATGAGCTAATTACCTTCTGGGCCTTGTGGGGCTTTTGAAAACAGTCTTCCACTGGTGGGTAAAATGTTTATTAAGATCCTGGATATTTTCCATTCTAAAAGCATCATTTTTATTCTTTCCAAGCTTTCGGAAACAAGCATACACCAGAGCCAAACTTTATAATGGAACTGTTAACTATAGGCTATGCTGTATTTTCTCTCTTTTTAAAAAAAAACCATGTTTTTTTAAATTTAGTCGGAGGCCACCAGGTTGGATTTGACTCTTGGTAATTGTATAGACAAATGCTCTCCATCCTGACCTATCTTTTGTAATAATTCCTTGCTTTCCCAAGGACATTCCAGGAATCCCTTTGATCCTATCCATCCACTTTATCAGCTGTCTTCTCTTTCTGTTTCCATCAGTGTTGCCAAGCATAATTTTTTGTACTGAAGAAAGTTAATTTAAAAATTTAAACAATAATGAGTGGCAGTGCTATTTGTGGAGGTGGGGGTCATTTGCCCACAGTTTCAACTTACTTTAGACCACAGTGGATGGTCTACAGCATCTGTAAGTCCAATCAGTTGACTGGTTCACTGATAGCACACTGACTGTAATAATCACTAACCAATAATTGTTGGCTTATGTATAAAGCCAAAGACACAAATCTTTTTTACTTAAAAGCATCGTCTCCTCCCTGGCTATAGCTCTGAAGTTTAAAAAGTGTAAGCAATTACTATCCCTAAAACATATAACCTTGGTTCACACACTGAACAAAGGAATAATGTGATTTGTTTGCTTTTATATGAACCTTATCAGTTGTGATACTATCAGTTAACATGATGGGTGTACCAGGCTACTAATCCTTTGCATTCATAAAATAGCTGTTTCTTCTAGCTCATACCATTATTATGTAGTTCATACTGTGGTTTGCTTAATCATGATTTTTTGAGTACCATTGGCTGGGTTCACACATTCTGAATCATAACCAATAACTTGCAGTCCTCAAAGGCTAAACCTCAACAAATTAAAACTGATATTTGCACATTGTGCAGACGAACTTATACATTTGTAACTAACTTTGTTAATTGTGTTGTGTGGATATATTCAGTAAGCTTTGTGGCTGGTTGGGAAATTCAACCTAGATTTCCCTGGTTCTATTTGGAGAAGTATGTACAATACAAGTGGCTAAAATGTGGTTGGTTAGTTTGTGGCCTTATACGTGTTGGAAATTAACCAGTATGGTTAGTTTATAGTTCTGAGGGTTCTGCAAACTCAGACAGTTGGATTAATTTAACATACTATAGCTCACCTAACCATAGATTAATATGTTGTATGAACATAGCTACTGTAATCTTAATAATTAACTGGCTCTTTTTGCCTTCCTTATAGAAATATGAACTGTTGCCCCTGTTCCTGTCTAAGAATAGACTGCTTTCAGCTGTTAGCAACATTCATGATATTATGAACTCTCTTGGAATACAATCAACTTCTCTCTTTCAAGAGGAGATACCTACTTATTTTGCAGTGCATTAATTATTGCTTACCTTGAGTTAATTTTCTTACATGTCTGATCTCCCAGTCCTTTTAAAAAAATCTTCCTTATTCTTCTTCCTTAAGTCCTTTCCAGAAAAAAATGGGGTTTCTTGTGCAGATGAGTAGATGTCTGTAAAATACCCTTAGTTATATCTAAAAGAATTGCATATATGAGAGTAATCAAACAAACAACTAATTCCTCTTGTTTATTTGCAAGGATACATTTCCATCCCCCTTCTATCTGCTTTGGCTACAATAACCTTTTTCTTCCACTCCCCTGCTGTGCCGTTTCTTCTTCCCTTGAGAAATACCCAAGATTGAAGGCAGCTAACACATTTTGGTCTTGCTCTCATAATGGCAGTAAATTCATCAGTTCAAGATGCCATTAGTAGACTGTTGTGTCTGAGACCAGCCACTGCCATCTGGGGCAACTTGATGATCTGGATATTGCTTTACTGCACATTACTTGATATCTCTTATGCTTATTACATTTTCAAGACCTTCTTAGCTGTTGCTTTCCTTCGGTTGCACCTACTCAAAAAAAAAAACAAAAACCCTGTGGCTTAATAGTAGAAGAGAACAGAAGGTTCCAGATTCAGCCTCGGCATTTCCTGATAGGGCTGGGAAAGAGATTTTTTTCTTCCTCCCCTTGATACTAGAACATGGGAAAGTCTAGTAAAGCTGGCTGATGCAAAACTGAGAAAAACAGAAACTGCCTATTTCACACAAGTCATGGTGAA